CNNNCGTTGAGAACCATTCTCACCGGAGCGCATCCCTATATATATATATATATATATATATATATATATATATAGGAAGTGGTTCAAATATAAACTAGTCCTGGTGTGAGAACCGTGAGAACCGTATTTAATGCTATTTTTTATTGTGTATGATGCTATTTTTAATATCACATGGTGCTACCATTTTCAAAAATGCTAATATAAATTGTATTGCTATTTTAAGAAAATAGATCCATGCTAAAAATAACACTAAAATACAATCAATCATAGCACTACGTACGACTATAAATAGCAATTTTTACGGTTCTCACGGTAAGACTTGATTATCATTTGAACCAAATCCTATTTTGGTTCAGTAATTGAAGACCTTTGACTATTTTCTAAAAGATAGGAAGGAAATTGGGTACAGGCAAAAGGCGTGGATATCTTGATGAGGTTTTTGGTGCAGTAATTGAAGATCTTTGACTATTTTCTAAAAGATAGGAAGGAAATTGGGTACAAGCAAAAGGCGTAGATATCTGAATTCTCATCACTCATTATCAGGTCCAGTTGCTTTATCCATTTAGTTACCACTAAGAAAAGAAATAATTATAGAACTCGGTTAGTAATACTGTAATAGTAGTTCTTTTATGGTACCGAAGTTGTGCCCCAAAATTTCGTAGCTACATTTATTAGGTTGGTGGGTTAAAAGATAGTTTGAACATAAACAAGTGCATGTTATTTTGAGTGCCCAACTGGGCTTTCATTTGAGAAATACAAAAGTGACAGGTATTGTGATGGGCATATAGCCACTGAGAAGCGGTTGTTCACATCACACAAATAAAGAACCTATATTTTCATGATGTTCACAAAACCATCCCTTCTGACTTTTTGTTTCTATTCAATAATTCAAATGAACAAAACTAGGGGTAGGCAAAAAAACCAGATTTCTCGATTCTGAACCGGACTGAAATGGTCCCGTTCGAAAAATAGGATTCCAAATCGGTTTTTAAAATTTTCGTACCGTTCCCGGTATCGAATCGGTTGAAACAATGTCGGTATCGGTTTTTATAAATTTTTTCTCGAACCGTCCTGTTTGTCCCGTTTTATTTTTTTTGTACAAAATTATTATTTATATTTATGTTAGTATTAATAGGCTTGGAAATGGAGTTGGTTTCTGTTTCAAACTTTAAATTCAGCAGGCTTTGTATTTAATAATGATTTAATAATGAAAGTCCAATTCATGTAATTGGCTTGGCCCAAAAAATGAAAATTAAAAATTAAACTTTAGTATTTACGGGCAAAGCAGAGTAGCAGACAACACAACACTCCTCATTTCCCCCAATTCCCAATTTCATTTTCCCATTCATTTTCTTCTCCATCTGCAATTCTCCATCGCGTCGCCATTCACATCTCCATCTCACCATTTTTTTTCGATTCAGTTCCCAAATTCAAAACCCTAATTCAATATATATTGTTATGTGCTAAAATTTTAAACCTCAAAAATCTCAAATTCCCAATCAAACAATCAAGAACCCTAATTTCCAAAATACCATGTCTAAATCCTGCGGCACATCTTCGAAAATTCCTGCAGCTGGGAGGCATTCACCGACAATGGAAACTCCACCAACACCAAGCAGTGCTTCAAATCCCGTGCATGTGGTGGTGCAGCCCGCAAATATGCCAACCAGGCCGAATATTCTATATGAGCTTCCACCAGGTATGAAGGCTAGGGTTTATAGGTCCTCCATTTGGTGTAAGTGTGTAAGACTGTAAGTGAACTTTGGATTTTGGAATGTTTGTAAGGCCGGGTTAAGGCAAGTGAAGCGATAACAGATTTGAATGCTTGGTTAGTTGGTTGCAGGCTTGCAGCTTTCAATGGAATTAATTAGTTAATTTGAACTTTTGATGCATGTTATGTACCCTTTGATTTTGATTTTTGAATGGAAACAGACTATGAAATCAAAGTTTTTTTTAAGTGGAACAATGAATAGTTTGAAGTTTGAACATTTTTTTTTTCCCGTTTTGTCCTGGAGTCCCGAACCGTTTTGTTCCGGTCCCGATTGTTACCGATCCGTTTGGGATGGGGTCTCGTCCCAGACTGGTTCAAAAAACCGAGACAGATACCGGGATAGGTCAAATCCCGGACCGTCCCGAACCACGCCCACCTCTAAACAAAACTACAAAGTATCAACTATCAAGTGGTGAATACTCTTGCTATTGTGACAAAAACTTTTGAAATTAAACAAATATTTTGGAGATAAATATAAGAGTAAGACCATCTCCACTGCACGCTATATTGTGTGGTGCTATATGACGCGCTTAAAATTTTGCTATTCCATTTTCTTTTTCCTCTTTCATTTCATTTATTTCAAAATGCCATTTTTATAATTGGGTATTCAAACAAGCAGTTATTTGGTATATAAATTTATAAATTGAAATTATATTTGTACTAAATTCTGTGAATGAGTTGAAAGTTCAGAAGAAAGTTGTATGTATAAAATAACATGTTTAACACAGTATTTTATGTAAGATTGTACTAATAAATGTCAATAATTTATAGTATGATTATATAGGTGTATCAAAAACTTATGTTAAAGAAATATATTTATAATGAATTACTGTAAAATAAATTATAATATTTGTTGATAACCGACTTGATTTCCCAAAGTTAATTAGAGGATCAATTATATTATACTTTTAGTAGTCCTTTAATATTATTTTTGGCGACCAACTTAGTTCAACTCGGTGCAATTAAATATCGACCGACTTCGGACAACTGAAGAAATAACCTATTGTTGTTGTATGAAATTAACAACTTGAAATTACAAACAACTGGGTGTATTTAAACAAAGATTAATATAAAATTGGATTTTATTGATATATTCACAAGAGTACAGGAAGTCGGTTTTTTTGTTTTTAACCGAGATTATTTTTAGTCCATGTACAATGTGTCGAAAAAGATCCTCGTACTATCATAAATTCTGCTATTTATAGTACGGTAGTTTTTGTCTTTTTGTCTGAGGTAGATAAGATCGTATTTAATGTTGAGCAGCTTCAATTAAGCGGTGTGTAGCAGAATGAGGAAACATCAATGATTGTTGTTTGCTTTGATGGTCCAATCAAATGGGCACAACTCTTTTTGCTTAAAAATTCGATCTTCCCGGATGTCGGATGAGCAAATAAACATTTTGTAGATATGTATTGGTGAAGTCGGTTGTTGGCTTCTATTAGATTGTTTCTTCGTTTTGTCTAGATGTCGGCTTTTCCATCTAGAAGTCGGTGAACAACATATCTGACTGGTACCGACTTGAGCTAAGTTTAACCATCTCTAAAGAACCTTTAATCGAACAAGATAATTACTCTTGGCTCTAACCTTGTAAAACCAAGTCGGTTATCAACAGAGAGGCCCCCGACATTAGTAGGTATTTGAACTTTTGTTGTTTAAATGGCTGCTGATGTCGCTTTTGTCCTTGTAATTCCGACTTGGTCGTTTTCCGAGTCTTCTTCATTTTACAACCGACATGGGAGCACTTGGTCTGTTTTGAACTTCGTCTGCGATAGTTACATAACGTTTGGATTGACGTGGCAGTTCTCAAAAGACGTGTCCGCATTTAATGGGTCCAACAGATAGAACTATTGAATGAGATGGCATTTCAGGATTTGCCCACGTCTGTTAATCATTACTGTAACGTTGCGCTGTTTAATGACACGTCTGTTACACGCGCCAATCTCTGGTTTTGCCAACGGTAACAAATCAAAACCTATAAATGGTTGTCGGTTTTAACTGCAAAGGGTTTCTTCACCTTTAATCTTCGCATTTTTTGCTTTCATCTTTTCATCCATACTCCTTTGAATTTCTCTTTCTGTTTTCATCTCGTGCAATTCGTACAATTTCTCTGTATCTTCTTCAATTTAGTGCGTCGAAATCCTCGGTAAGGCTTTGCCCTAATTTTCATT